TGTTGTTGTCGTGTTGTCATTGTCGCATGCCATTGTTGTGTTTCATTGCGTGTTGTACGTGGGCGCTGGGCGTTGTTTGATGTCCACTGGGCGTTGTTTGCTGTCCGCTGGGCATTGCATGTTGTCGTCGACCTAATGTGTGGGCGCTGTGTGTTGTTCTGTGGGTGCTGGGGCATTTTCGTGGGTGGGGTGTGGTTTTTGTGGGTGCTGGGGAGTTTCCGGGGGTGGTGGCAGCTGCAAACCAAGGAGTGGGGGGTGAGGAGGTTGGCCACGTCGACGGGGCACCTGAATAGTGAGCAGTGGGGGTGGAGAGACCTGCTACTCACTTGGGTGGCTCAAAACAACCCTGCCAAATTTCATTCCTCTGGAATCTACCAGAATCCGCAGGAATGACCGGATTTAGGGGGGCACTGATAAGACCTCTTTGAGACTACAAAATAATTGTAGTGTCCACTTTTTGACACTGCAAAAGATTTATAGTGTGCGCTTTTTCATTAAAAAATAATTCAAAAAGCAGACACTACAAACTTTTTTAATGAAAAAGCACAAACTACAAATCTTTTGCAGTCTCAAACTACAAACTTTTGTAGTCCAACTTTTTGTAGTCTTTTGTAATCTATCAGTAAACTTTGTCATCCAACTTTTGTAGTCTTTTGTAAGCTATCAGTAAACTTTGTAGTCTATACCCCCTGTCTGCGCCCTGGTCCCAATGGCATGGAGAAGCATGAACCTAATCAGAAACTTATGGGCACCTTTACGGAGAAACTTGTTGTGGTGCAATAACTTCATGCGATGGGCATTCTGGTCTGGTTGATTTGACCATCTTTTCGTATTTTGCCAAAGATGAATGTCAACATCTATTCCCCCCAGCAACATGATACTGATATTGTTTTGTGGCAGTTTACTGATGGTTGGGGAAAGCCTGACCCCTACCCCATCCTGTGCTGTCTGTTTCCCAATTGACGGCTGCAGGGGCAGTGGGGCCCACTGGTAAGACTGACAGTTATTATGTTGATGTTCTTATTGCTAACTTGGAGTGTTTTTAGCTGGTTCATCTTCTGGGAGTGAGGGATGGTATGCCTCAGCTGCTTCATCCACTCAGCAAGGTAAGGTTGTGCTTTCGCTCCAAGTGCGGAGTTTACTGAAACATGTTTGCAGTTTTACAATCTGTGAGATCCCAGCAGCAGTCCCAGCCATGATCTCAGCTGCAGTCCCAGCCCCCCTCAATGCCAGTTATTCCTCCATCTCTGGGGCTCACACCAACGTTGAATAAGGGGCCTGGGCCCTCTAAGCACCAACACCTAGTGGGTGAAGAAGCCCCAGTCAGCCCATTCATGCCGGACCCTATGCCACAATGGGCAGATGCTCTGCATATGATCGACTCAGATCGCACCTGAGTAATCAAACTGGGAGTCAATAGGGCTACTACTGTCCTCCACAAATGGCCCACTGTCATCTGACTCTTCAACAAATGGGGCACGAGGCTCTGACACCAAGCTGGAACCAGTAGAACTCTCCAATATGTCTGAATCTGATGGTTCCTCCAATGAGTCAGAGGTAAACTCCACACAAGGGCGAATGTCTAGAGTAGGGAGTTGACCCAAAAATGGGCTTACAACCTCGATGGTCAGAGGTATCAGTGTCTGAATCTGAATGGAGACATGGAGGGCTTTTTGCATCTAACCCCCTTTGACTTTTGCAAGGTCGTCACATTGTGAGGGCATAGCCTCATATTCCCCTTTCAAAAGACAACTCTCTGCTCCTTCTGGCATGAAGTGGTGTCCGGTGATACGTGTTGCACAGGGATGACCATGAAAGTGCGAAACACACAAACAAGGATCAAGCGTGTCGGGAAAACCCTAAACACCTAAACACTCACTCACACACACACACACACACACACACACTATCACAATCTCAGTGCACGAGTTCGAGGGCCTTTGGTATTAAGAAATGCCACTTTTGTCTTCTTAGGTTTAAGTCTCAAGAGATTTCGTCTCAAAACAGGTTTTTATTATAAGGTGTGGTTTAGAATAGTTCAATAGAACAAAGTATGTCTTTCTGGGAACTTGGTCTCTTAAATGCAAAGTTCTTTGATCACAGTTTCTTTTATTAACACAAAACACGACTTCAATTGACTTTTATGACTCCCGTGAGTTTTTATTATGTCACTACGCTCCAAAACCAAGGGTATGAGTACGCTGTCTCATCTAAATGATACTGTGTGTTTAAAACCTCTTATTCAAAAGTCTCCAAGTAAGTTGACTCCCAAGCACACTGGCTTTGTTCACACTGTACTTTTCTGACCACGAAGAAATCTCCTTTAATTTCATTCTGGGCAGAGCTCACGGCTTTCTTCTATCTAGCATGCATGCCAGCACCATCAAAGGGCCGGTAGGTATGAACTTTGGACAGGCAGAGAGGGAAGGATTCCAAGAGGTCATCACCCCCCTCTTCAGCCGTTACCTCAGAAAATGCTACAGTACGTTCCACTCAATTATATTCTGCAAGTGTTTTCTCAATTCTTGTTTAGCTAAGTCGGAATGTCATGCCCAAGCCCTCCCTTCCTCCAACCCCGTTTTATCCCGGCTCATGGGCGACAATGTCTCGGTGCACAGGGCCGATTGGGACATGGATTCTGCTGCCTCCAGGTCGGAGGATCCTGTCATGCATTTCCCTCCCAATAATGCAGCCCCTCTCAACTCTGAATTGGGTGCACCACCTCCTTCTACCCAAGTACCTTTGCGCCCTGCTTCCCCACTCTCTACTCATGGATCTCCTCCACCCTCCCTGCGCAGATCTCCTCCACCCTCCCTACGCAGATCTCCTCCCTGCTCTCCGGATCCTATTTGTCCCAGTGACATGCACAAAGGGGAGTCCATTTCTGGCAAGAAAAGGAAGGCTTCATTGTCGTCTGTTGTAGATTCCGGTGCAGGGGGTGAGAATGGCAGCTCTGGGGGGGCTAAAAAGAGGAAGGGCTTGACTTCTGCCAAGGGAAGTCGTGTAGGACGAGGAAGGAGGATGTGGTCGACTGTCAATGCTGGAGCTCAAGGCAGCAAGTCGGCGCCATTGACAAAAACATCGATCTCGATGTTGAAGTCCCCCACTGTGCCTGTTTCTGCCCAACCGCCCATCGGTGGCTCCTCCGGACCCTTCCCTTCTTGGTTCACCTCCTGTTCGACAATGCTTTGTTCACACAACTTGGGCCTCGCTTGGCTTGAACTAGTTGGCCTGTGGGAAGCGTTTGAACAACAGCACGACTTCAAACCAGCAGACAAACAATCCAACCTCTCCAGCTTCAAACGCCTGCCCTGCATAAGTTCAATGCAGACTTTTTGGCATGGTGGGGCAGTCTTCTGCCGGCGACTGCAGGGGAGGATTTGTCACCCATCGCCAAGCCTGGAATAAATGGCCTTCTAAGCATGATGGCTGGCCTTTTTTTTGGGGGTGCTTCCTGTGGACCGACGTCGGCTTGGGCAGAATGTCTTGAAGACGTCTCAGTGGCGTTAGCAAGCTTAGTTGGTGAGTAAAATATCCGCCCTGGAGTTGAGGGCACTCATGCATGTGGGGGGAGGGGGCAAGTCTTAGCGGGGTCTTTTCTTTTTCTTCACCAGATCGTATTTTTCTTCTTGTATATTCATTTAGTACCTCAATGCTGTTGTGTTCTCTTGTTCTACATCAAATTTCAAAGCAGGCGGCTACAACTTGGTATGTTTTCATTCCCTCTATGAAATGACATGAGAGTGCCTATCTAGTGAACAACAATAAACAAGTTGGGATGAACAAGATGATGGCCAGGCACGCCAAGGAGGAAGCCAGGAACAAAGCCAAGAAGGCACACCAAAAAGACAAAGCCAGGCACAGGACTTGAAAGGGCAAGGACGAGGGCAGCCCGGAATAAGGCAATAAGCTAGTTGACGACAAAAAAGCATAATTACAGTTGAGTGCAAAAAGAATGAAGGTTGGTTCATTTTTCTGGTTCTTTCTAAGAATCTATTGTAGCTCAAATGTATTTGTGTATTCTTTTACATTATGTAGTTGTGTTACACTTCCCTTGGTATGGACTAATTTCAGTGAAAGCTGGAGCCTTGAGAAGGTTTTTATTCTGGAGGCCATTTTTGGCATCTGAAAAAAAAAATATGCGCTAACTGGGGAGGTAGCCAGAACATACCTCTGGTCAATCTGAATGAGCCTATCAAAGAATTAGTTAAAAATACTGAGCGGTTATGCTTGTAGAGCCTCCAGAAAATGGTCATTTTGTGCTATTTTGGTCATTTTTGGCCTGTTTTAGACAAAACAAGCCATTTTCCAAAGCCTCTACAGACCTAACCGCTCAGTATTTTTGACTGATTCTTTGATAGGCTCATTCAGGTTGACCAAAGGTATGTTCTGGCTACCTCCCCAGTTAGCGCATATTTATTTTTTCAGATGCCAAAAATGGCCTCCAGAATAAAAACCTTCTCAAGGCTCCAGCTTTCACTGAAATTAGTCCATACCAAGGGAAGTGTAACACAACTACATAATGTGAAAGAATACACAAATACATTTGAGGTACAATAGATTCTTAGAAAGAACCAGAAAAATGAACCAACCTTCATTCTTTTTGCACTCAACTGTCACCTCAAACAAGGGACAATCGGGCACTTGAGCAAAGCCTATGAAAGATGGGTTGACGAATTAATAATTTTTGAACCTTTTTTGTGGTTAGCACACATTGGTGGGACAATTTTAATTTTGATGGTGCATTTGCCTATTGTTCAAAGGGGGCCAATGGAATAAAAACAATTGATGTACTTATTGTTTGAATTTGTCTGCGACTGCATTCCCAAGGCAAAGCCTTGCTCAAAATAAAAGCTTTTCCTGCCGCCGAAGAGACAAATTGAATTGTTCCTGAAATTCATCCCATTTGCGAATTTTAATTCTTAACATTGTTTTGTCCTGTGGATGCATCTCAAGAAACATCAATTTCTTTATGTTTGTATGCCTCTTTGAACAATAGGCCCAACCACCGGCAGAATTAAAATTGCTCTAAAGGTCTGTCCTCATCACATAATAGGTTTAAAAATGATTCATTTGTCAAGGGATCTGTCAAGGGCTTTGCTCAACCGCCCGACCATCCCTTGTTTCAGGTGTGTACAGTGATACATCTAGATCTGTGGATAAAGATTTCATTGGCAAAATTCTCATTGAGATCTTCATCCATTGTCGTCTGAATCATTGTCTTGACCATCTTCTGGTGCAGGCTGTAGCTTTTTAAAAAAAATAGGGATATGGCATGGTTGCTGTATTTCATCAGTCTCCAGTCACACTGAGGGTTCAAATGACCTACTGCCTTGCTCCAAGACAACTGGGTCACCTGGTCGATACTGGTGGCAAGTTGTGATGAGCTGCTTATCACGGAGAATTGAGGTGATCAATTAGATGTACATTGAGAATTATCATGGGGAGAAAAACCTTGGAACCCACATCCTGGTTCCATTCATTCCACCTTGACCTCTAGGTAGCTAAATCAGGCCTGGTTTTGTAGTATAGACTGAAGAACATAAGTGACATAAAGAACACACTGCATGGGAAGATACTTACAATCAATTTTGCAGTCTTGGGATTGGAGGCTTCAAGCTCATCTAACTCAACATAGTGGGAGGTCTTAGTCATGCCCCACTGATTCCTGCTGGATTCTGGTCATTCCTGTGGATTCCGGTGCCATTCCAGTGGAATTTACCAGCCAAATTTTCAGAATTTCATTATTCCGGTATTTACACTGAAACAGTCCCCAGAATGCACCAGAATGGAATGGCACTGGAATGAAGTGACTGGAATGGACACTAAAATTGCCAAATATGGCAGGTTTTGCATTTTCACATAAAAAATAATAATAAAATCAGGGATGATGCTCACTATTGGTCATGATGTTGGGGTACTATTTACATGGTCTGTGTGCATGTCCTAATATGGTAATTATTGGTAAGTTTATTTCCTCACAGTGCGCTGCTTAAAGATTAAGTCGAGTTTTCCAGATCAAGGAGAGTGTTGTTGCCTCAGAAACTATCTTTGAGCTTGCAACCGTGGTCCTCATGAATACCCGTTCCTCTGTCACAGTACCTTTGTGTGCAAGGCTGGCTCTGCTGGTAAGTGATCTTATGGCAATGACGTCCAAATTCTAACACTCTTTTCTTTTTGGGTAGCACAAGTTATATACGGAGGTCAGCGACACAACCTACTGGGATAAGGTGGATGCCTGACTCAAACTCATTTGGACAATGGCAGGAGATGATACAAGGAAAATTACACGGTATGCCGCTATTTCTGTTCTGGAACTCTTTTTGCTCTCATGAATAATCCTAGTACATTCAAAAAGATCCTGGAAGGCGACCAGGCCAAGTACAGTGATCGAACCTCTTACACCATTGCCAGCGGTGATGGTGATGAATTTCAAGGAAGCGTTGACACTGTCATTGGCCACTAGCCCACCACAATTCCTTAGCCTGTCCTCGATGCTTGGACTATTCGTAGATTATCATTCCTTATGTGCCTAATTAGCCTACCATTTCGCTTCAACGTGCTCATCCTCAGAACCCCATCCCTTTAGTAGTTGGTAGTTCTACATACATACATTCATTGTTTCCATCAATATTGATACATTTGCATTCTCAATCAGTCAGTGGCCAGCTCCCACTCCCATACTACACAGACAGGATGTGCTCACATGATTCCAGGTAGCATTGATTCATGAAGAAAAGGTTTGAAAAGAGACAGCTCAATCCTGGACCACCATGTCATAAAGAAATGGACCAGCAGCCCAGTGATGTGTATATGCACAGGCTACTCACATAACAAGACCCCATGCCAGTTTTTCCTGGATGTCTACCCTGTCAATACATTTTCTCACCACCTCCCAGACACATCTCCCTGGCGACACACTGTGTTTAGTGCGAAGTTCACACCATGCCCAGCTGTCAACATATTGTTGTGATATGGGAGCAGTGTGTGATTACATCATTTGATCCAGCATTCTGGGACCTGACCCTGGTTTGGCGGTGTACCCAGAAGATCAGAAAAAAAGCATAATAAAGAATAGATATGTTGTAGACTGTTACTGAAAATGTTGCAGTTGTCTGTGCATGTTTCCACATATAGCAATGAATACAATGCAGCCAGAAAATCAGTAGAAAAAGGAGGAAAAAGCATACACATGGTGTTAACTGTTCTTGACAATGTTGGGCTACTGTTTACATGGTCTGTGCACCTTTCCAAATATGGAAAGTGATGATATACTAAATGAAAAGTCACAATTGAATAGGGGAAAGGTTAGAAAAAAATAGTAGATGGTGATCACTGCTGGTGATGATGTTGAGGGTGCTGCCTTCAGGGTCCAGTATGCATTTCCAAATAGGAGATATTTGCATTTCTAGAAAAATTATGAAAAACATTGTCAGAGTCCATTCAAATGACGTCAGGATGATGGACACTGATAAGACCTCCCTACGAGGCTCACTATGATGCCACCGTCCCATATGCAACTCAGCCCCCAACCATCCCAGACTCCCAGGAAGGGGTAGCATTCATATGTAGCTGTTTGAGCTTCCTCTGACCCTGATACACTGATGTTGCACTTCATTTAGAACTCACTCTTGAGTCCCATCCTCAGCAGGAGAAATTTCAAACCCTCAACATCATCACCAGCAGTGATCACCATCTACTATTTTTTTCTAACCTTTCCCCTATTCAATTGTGACTTTTCATTTAGTATATCATCACTTTCCATATTGAAAGTG